AAATGGAAAGTAATGGCCACGTAATCATGTATTGAAGCATCTTAGTATCCAATCAGAATAATACATGACTTGAGAGGGACCTAAAATAAAAAACAATATGTAAGTTACATTATCTTATTTAGTCCTCAATTCTAAGTTGTTCAGGAGCTACTTAATAGCAGTTTTCAGCTATCCCTCCCTTTGTCCTTTTTCCTACCCAAGCTCTGCATCTTTCTTCCCCTCTGCTCATCCTCTTTCAACCTTCTCTTCTCTTGTCACTTTATCTACTATTGCCTCCTCTCTTCTATCCTCTCGTACATTTCTTCGATGTTGTCCACCTGTCTCCTGACCTCCCTTTTAATTTTTACTTTTTGGCTTATTTCTCCTCCTCGATTTTCTCAACCTTCGCCTCTTCCTCACCCAGCCCTCTACCCATAGTCTTGTCTTCCCCATGTCGTTCATGGATTATTAATGGTCTTGTGGAGGTGGAGTGCCGCACTGACACTCCGTCGACCAGCCACAGAAAGCTATTGACTAGAAGTTTGGTTCAAAGAAACCACAAGGGATTTTTCAAGGGTTGCTGAACTTGTCCTCACAGCTAAGGTTACAATATAGATTATTCACAAACTTGGACAAAGTATGGATCAGCTGCAAGAGAGGCAGAAAAGTAACAATATGCTTGAGTTAATGGGGTATACAAGATGCAACTGGCTGAGGAAATTAGATATTCAGGACAAAGGATGCATGCCTTTGTAATGAGTTATGACTTTGTCGGTTATGGCTGATTGCAGCTTCCATTTGTTTGTGAAGATATTGTAGTTTTACTATGACAAAGGGCAAGAAAATGCAACATCACACTTTATGTTCTGTGTCAGCAAGTCCTTTATTCCTTAATCCTGGCAATGAGATAATTATAAAGAAACTGTAATAATAGTCTTGTGAAATTAAATTAGGATACTATGAAATTTAGAGTTGTGGTGGGAGAAAGGGACACTGTTTAAAATATAAACTGTAATATGTGTCAGTTAACAAAGTCTATACACCGATCAGCCATAACATTGTGAACACTGAGAGGTGAAGTGAATAACACTGATTATTGGGATATTATGGCACCTGTCAGTGGGTGAGATATATTAGGCAGCATGTTAACATTTTGTCCTCAAAGTTGATGTGTTAGAAGCAGGAAAAAAAGAAAATCTATATGCAAAAACAGCTGATGCCCTATGATCAAGTATGTAAAAACCACAGCCCAACCTGATGTCTTTAAAATGTTGTCAAACCAGTCCAAAACCCATAGTTTCAAAGAGTTTAGTTTCCCGTGTATGATTTTTATCCTAAAGATACCTAAACATCATCTAAACAGACTGCTGTATCTGTGAACCTCATATAGGTTTTGCTTATATACTGATTAATTCATACTAGACTATAATCCAGTTGTAGTTCAGTTATAGCTAGACATACCAGCAAATACTTTGGACTATGCCTATTTATTTGTCTATTGAAATAGCATTGTTGGCTTTACTTTTACATGTTTTGCAGTTTACCTTGGTGTGCCATTATATTGGCCAGATGTAAAAGTCCATTAAGACATCTCACTTTGACAGGTTTGCTTGTCCATTTGCAGGTCCCAGTCCTCATAAGCATGTCAGTGTCTCTGCTGAACATACTTATGAACCACCACAGGAACTACAACCACCTGATTCCTAATTCAGCTTTACAGTCTGGACTTAACCTCCCGTAACAGACACTCACATTGATGATATGATTTAACAGGGAATATAGCTAATGAGGCCTTTAATCACCTATCGGTTCCTTTTACAGGGTATGCCAAAAATGTGCAGTCCGTTTTCAGGTTTAGTTTTCTTTCTTTCTATTTTTTATGTGTGCTTTCAGCAGTAAGTAAAAAGTGTTATTTGCGTTATATCCCAGAAAGAACTTGCTTATCGCTCTAATCCAAAGTTGGCCTTTTCCCCAGCTGTCTGACATGACTGTCATGCCACTAAGGATGTGGTAAAACCCTATTTTGGCAGTTTTGTAAATAAAATATTAGATACTTCTAGGGTTGATATGTTTCTGTTGAAAACATCAAAGGATGTTTGGTCTCCTGTGTATGTTTTATCTATGTAAAATATTTGGTGGTTATAATGCTGTCTGTTTTTTATTTCTGTACCAGCTAACTTTGTGTTCTAAGTGATTTTGGGCCCTTCTTTCGTGGTGGTGCAACGGCACAGGTGGTGTTTACTTTAATTAAATCATGTGCAAATGACACCAAGCTGCTACAAAATGGCCACAAGCACCTCTACACTTGCATCAGACTGGTTGGTTAAAACTCACTATTCTGCCTGTTTATGTAGGAGACATCAAAATACCAGGGCACATTACTTCTGTGCGTCATGATAAGCTTCACTTTTAATTTTAGTTATTTTCAGTATTTCATGTGAAGTGGTACATGGGGATATATACAGTAAATGCATCCAAGACAGGGTTTGCGCCCAGACCTTTTTGACTAAGGTAGCACAAGTCAGGGCATTGACTTATGCAAGGGTAGCATCAAGAATGTGTCACAGTTTTCCAATAATGCCCAATATATACAATTCTAATACAGTCATGACTCCAGTATGCAGAAATATTCAAATATACTAGACGAAAATAACACATTTATACCACATTCAAAAAACTGCGTGGATTTGCCCAAAATTGCATGGGATTAGCATAAAGTGCAAATATCTGCAAAGAAAAGAGACAAAATGACTTGGGTGCCCATATAATCCATTTTTATTCAGATATCTTGAGATCAGAGATCAAGGGATCCCTGTGAAAATGGCTGTGCAATTTTTTCCAACGCCAAAATTAAGAGAGTCATACACACCTTTATCTGAGATAAATTCAACCTGTAAAGGACAAGCAATATCTCTGGTAGCTAACTAACAATGCTGAGATAAGAGTGTAGTCAGACTGATCATGCTCTGCTGCCCATAACAATTACTGATAGATGGAATAAACAACATACAAACAAACAACATCATCATTATCATGTGACAGAAGGGTGGTAGAGAAAGGCTATAACTAAATGCACCACTCGTATGACCCCTCTTTTGACATGGCTATAAAATTTACAAAGATGGATGAAAACTAACATAGTGTGTGACCTTGTGATTACCTGTATTTACTCTTGACATCTTATTTCACAGAAAACAAAAAGAATACAAAATAATAGCATTGATATTGTGGCCAACTGATGCTATATCGGCTGTTTTACAGTGTGTAATTAACCACCTAAGGACTACATCTGTTAACAAAAAACTGCTTCATAAGGCCTTGCAGTATCTTCTCAACTGAATGGATTGGCTGCCCAAACTTCTTTCTTTAAAATATATTTTGCATGTGATTAAGGTCGGAAAAATCCTTTTTACACCAACAAAAGGATCAAAACCAAACTTAAGGTCAAAAGTATTACACCTTAAAGGTCAAAAGTATTATATTAGTATTAGATTTAAGGTCTAATACTGCACAGAGAAATTACCTATTTCATTGTACATGTGTCATTCAGAAAAATATCTATTATAATTCTATTTTTTTTTTTTATGACATTCAGACATTTCTACAAGCAGTGGTGGAAGAAGTACTCAGATTGATTGCTAATAGAAATATCTAAGAGAAATATTTCGTCTTAAATGCTGTCAAGGTAAATGAAAATAAATTAAAGTAGGATCAAGTAGACTAAGATGCAGAGTGGTGCTTCTGACTTTGCTGTAGTTTTTTGCACAGTATGTTAATGTAATATTGTGTATAGTGTGGACTCGTGTGTCATGATTTGTACTTTTTTGAATGTTTTGAATGTTTTTGTGATTTGTATTTTTATGAAAGTCTTTGTTTTTATGACATCTCATGGTGAAACCAAACACAAATTTCTTCTTCTTTCTTCTACTTAAGTAAAAGTAGTAATAACGTAGTGTAGAAATACTGTGTAACAAGTAGCACAGTCCTTCATTCACAATCTTAAGTTAATGTTCATTAGTGTTTCATTTTCATTAGTGTATTGGTGTAGTTGTTGCGTCTGTCTGTCTGTCTCTCTCTCTCTCTCTCTCTCTCTCTCTCTCTCTCTCTCATCCCAACTGGTCAAGGCAGACGACCCCCACCTAGAAGCCATAGGGTCTGTCCTAGGTTTCTGCCTGTTAAAAGGCGTTTTTCCTTGCCCCCATTGCCAAGTGCTTGCTCATGGTGGTACTGTTGGGTCTCGTAAATGTTAAAAGGAGTTCGGTCTAGACCTGCTCTATTTGAAAAGTGTCCTGAGATAACTTCTGTTATGAATTGGCGCTATACAAATTAAGAATTGAATTGAATAAAATGTACAGTATTTTCTTTAAAATATAGTATGAAAGGTATAAGTGCTCATTATGCAGAATTGCCGGTTTCAGAACAATATAATATTGGATTAGAATTTTTGATGCATTAACGTGTACATCAGATTTGATGACCTTATATCCTATATATACTACTGGGTAGTTTGTAAAGTCTCATCTAAACTTAATAATACTATAATAATAATACATCATAATGGATTTTATTTTGTATTATTGGTAAATCTGCAAAATAACTAGTTAATAACTGTAGCAGAATAAAAGGTACAACTCTGGCCTCTGAAATATTGTGATGTTGAAGTAGACAGTTTCTGAAAATGGAAAGTACAAGTTCCTCAATCATACTTAATTATACTTAAATACTTGAGTAAATGTTGACTTACCGTAGTTATATTCTGCCACTGTCTACAAGAGAGCCAAAAATTACACTATGACTGAATTAATCAAATGTAGCATCGGAAACGTATGGAATTCCTCAAGGTTCTTCTTTGGTTCCCCTTCTGTTACTGCTGCATTGGAAGAATTGAAATTCCAGTACCTTGTGAAACAGAAAACTGTAAAATAAATATATGGTTGTCTCTTTTTTTCTGACTGCTCTGCCTTCACTCTGGTTTTTGCCTTGATTTCCACTGATCCTCTTCCTGTATTTGTTCTTCCTAGCTGAGGTGTCAAGAGAGGCGGTAGGAAGTCTGACATCTCTGTTGGTTCAGCCTATCTCTGCCTTCCTGGCAAAGACGTTACTGTCCTCTCCATCCACAGGGCAGGGAGACTCCTGCATTCCTCTCGCCATGCCTCCCAATGCAGGTAAATACACAAAATACACTCTGACAAAATGACTGTAGCATTTATCAATCACATGTATATCAGTCAATATTATATACAAACACATATTTTAACAGCCTCATAAATAAATAGATATAAAGTTCACAAATTAAATTCCTTAATTAAATTAAATATTTAATGAAGACAGACTTACACATGCACAGTCTCATCCTCATCATTTGTTTGTTTTGTTGTTGTTTTGGAGTGAAACTGCTGTCCTTTACATAGAAAGGAGAGAGGTTCATGGTTTTTATAAGAAATAAGATCATAAAATGTAGCGATGTTTGAGCGAACTACTTGCTGCTGTATCTACATGTGCCACCATCATAATTAGGGTTAGGATATCCCCAGGATTCCTCCCTGTGAATTTATTCCAGTAATGTCCAACAAGGTGGACGTATGCATATGTATCTTTAAATATTAATTATAACGCCTCAGGAGCCCTGAACCCCCAGGATGAGCTGGAGGACGAGGCTGAGGAGAATAATGTCTGGACTTCGCTTAGCTCACTGCCTTGTCATTCTCCACAGTAACAGAAAGCAATTATTCATGTCAGCGTGTAGAGTTCATTCTCATGAAATGTGTTTGGTACGATAGCAGTCTACTTTATATCTGTCCTACAGAAGTCCTGCTGCATCCAGTTTCGAGCTTTGGTATCCCTTTCAAACATATTGACTGCAGTAGCAGGGCATGCCACTGTTGGGTCTAGACTTTCTGATCTTTGACTCAGCTGAAACCGGAAATGATTAGTTGTTAAAATAATTGTGAAAAACATAATCTGCAACTATTCTGATACCCAATTAAATGTTGAAGACATTTGTCAAGTAAAAATACCAGGTATTTCCTCGTGATAGTTGTGTGTGTGAGGATTAGCTACTTTTCTCTCTCTCTTTCTTTGAAAACATTGTCTTGGACTTTAAGACATGTATCAGGCTTTTATGAAGGCATCTTTAGTAAACAAAACATATAATTGATCAATGAAAACAAAATCAACAGATTATCTTTTTACACGCTCACTGCACACTGACATGGTTTTTGTTAATATTTAAGCATGACATTCTTGGATATGGAAGTAAGAATGGTGGGAAATTCAAGAAAGTACACAAACCAACAAAATACCAAATTATTAACATGAAGAAAGTTTAAATTGTATGTACAGGATGTTTGTTTTCATATCATCCTGCTCTATCTAAATGGTTTAACGTCACCACCGCCTACCTCTTCTAGAATATTAGTCACACAGTACGGTGACTCATTGAGTTCATAACCTGCAGTCTCCAGCAAACACGGCTTGGTTGAGTCACAGATGTGACCTGACTGCCTCATTTCCACTGCTGTGATGTCCACTGGAAGTGTGTCATGCAACTTCACTGTTGTTGTCTTTCTTTTTCTCTTATTCTCTACGACATTTCACACACAATGCTTATACAGGACAATAAAAGTATTTGGGCAATATGTTAAAACCACTATTTAAGTAGTATTCTCCACAGAAGTTAATATATATTACAGGGGTACCGTGTTGCCATACATACCCATTTTTGGCCTGTCAAATCCACAATGCACGTCTTTTACACATGTTTATTAAATTAATGATGTTCAAAAAACCATTATGTTTATGGTACAATGTTGCCTACAGGCAACAAACCCCAAAAACTTAAAAAAAAAAAAATTCTTTCTTTTTTATGTTTATTTAGTTTATTTTAAGACAAAAAATTATTTCCTAACTGGCATCATAATGCATACCATAGAGGGCTAAATATATTTGAGTTGCTTTTAGACTAGGCTCTCCGATATTTACACGCACAAAGTGTCATGACGGGGCGCCCCAGTAGCTCCCCTCTCTATCCCCTGCCTGTGTCACTATGAAAAATAAAGCAAAGTGCCAAAAAAAAAAGAGAATTGTGATGACAGCCGCTTGTGGTAATACATCTACAATGTGTACACATAAGTTAGCAGATAAAAATTAGACGACAAGGATAATCATATCGTAATCAGTGAGTGAACCAAGATCATTACCTAACCTTAACCAAGTGGTTATAATGTTAACCACAATGATAAAGGGACTTAACAAAATAGTAATTTAAACCAAGATGTTTGGCCAAACCTTGCCAAGTTGTTTTGTGCCTAAACATCACCAAACTTGAACCATGGTCGTATCAGACCAGACTTTTTTTTTTTTTTATGCAGTGGTATTGGAAGGCACAGACAATAGGGGCTTTAGATCAGAAGACTTTTTTTTATTTGTCATTTTAGAAGGGAGTTAGAAATTACATGATATATCATATATCTTTTGACCTGCGGATAAAGAAAGAGCAAGAGGAATAAAGGTGCGCAGGCATGCAGAGAAAGCATTTAATCTATATGTTTTAGGCGGTTGTACCTGTCACCCAGCAAGCTGGTCAGTGACTCATGTAGAATGTTGCTCTCACTCCATTTTAAAGGTAGGGTCGGCAATCCTGTTCAGAAGCACGTTTTGTTATACTGGGTGAAATGGTCCCTCTGCTGTTGTCAGAGGAATCAATTCAT